GTTATAATTACTTTTTTTTTAAGATTTGGTGAGTCCTGTATTGAGCTTCAAATGCTTGGGGGAGCCATTGCTCACAATGCTTCAACAATTAAGTTTGATAACACAATGAGTTTTAAGATTTGGTTCGCTTTTAGAAATTAATTGTCTTTCACATTTTTTATATTTTAATCTATATAAAATTGTTTATGAAATTGCCAATAAATGTATATAGGTTATTTGGTATAACATATTTCTTTCACTTAATGCAATCATGTAATTTGGAATAATTATGTCACTTGATCTTTTAATGCAACCATGTAATTACGAATAATGAGGATAAAGAAATTAAAAGAGATGAAAAATAAAATGATGGAAAAATAGATTTATCTTTTCTATTGATGTTTTTGGTTGAAAAAGTGGAAATTTTCAAAGCAAATGAAAAATTTTCATCTATTATTTGGTAGACTTGAAAAATAAAAGGAAATAATATAAAATGTAATTTTTTTAAAATTAAAATAAAAAGAAAAAATAATTAAAAAAATGATGTATAATCTTGTAAATATGTAACATTTACTCACAATTTTTCATTTTCTCTCCTCTTTTCTTTTTAATTTGGAAAGATTTGTATTTGTTAATAATATTTTTCTATTTTCTTTCCTCACATTTTTCTTTCTCATCAAACACATTCAAAATTCATTTTCTTTTCACTTTTCCATCTTTTACCATCCGTTCTTCCACTTTTGTACGCTATCAAACACGCCTTTGCTATCACATAGATATAAATGGATTGAAAATCATGATGGGGCTATTAATCAAAGAGCATAATGCACATAATAGTTTATATCATATAAAACAATAATAACAATTATTATAAATAAATTAAAGGCATAAATTTCAAAAATAAAAATAAAAACCTTGATGTTTACATTAATTGCATGATGATAATCCTAAAGGTCTACATGATTTGTGGCATAAATGTTCTTATTGTATATTACATGATATCATGCATTATGCAAAGAGTCTTAATAGCAATCAAACTCTAAATGACATAAAAACTCTATCTTGATTAGGGATTTTTTAACTAGATTGATTGTGTGATATAATTTTACATAAGACTCTTTGGCTTTAAGAATGTGACATTTTACAAAAAAACCAAATGTTCATAAATTTTCTCTAATATAAAATAAAATAAAAATAATTATTATTTCTTTCATCTCATAATTAGTGTTCGTAATTTTTCAATCATCTTTTTAAATTTTGATCATATATTATTAAAATCATTATTAATCGCATAAAAATGTGTTCAATCTAATTGTGATATATTGTCATGAAATCCAAATTAGCCTAAGTGAAGTAATTGAACCTTTTTTTTTATTTTGAGAGACAATTTTTATTTTTTCTATCTTTTTTAAAGATGAGAATTTTTTTTTAAAAAAATCCAATTTAAAAATTATAATATTAATTATAATTTAAATTCAAATCAAATTATAAAAATTTATATTAGATATTCAAACAAAATAATCAAACTAAACAAAACCATTATCATCCCTATTTCTTTCATTCTTTCTGTTAGACTTTTTTTTTTTTTTACTTCATCA